GCGGCTCAGCGCGAGGTGGCCGAGACCAAGCAGGCCCAGCCAGCGCACGGTGGGCTCGGGGTCGCTCCGCCAGACGCGGAGCCGCTCCAGGATGACCTCCTCCCGCAGGGGCCGCACGGTGGGCCAGCTCTGCAGCAGCTGGGGGGACCCGCAATCAGCACGCTTGCGGTCCCCTTGTTGATGGCGACGCTTAGGGGCCAAGTCCACGGTCGCCCCTCACCACCCATCCTGGACATGGGCTCACCCCCGTGAAGAAGGCCATAGCCGTAAGGCGCTGAGTGTCATCGGCGCTGCGCAGCCGAGGCAGCAAGTCAGCGAACAGGCCCCGCAGGTGGTGGTCCGCGTGGGCCACCATGGCTCTGGGATGGGGTGAAATGGGAACTCTCCTGCTGATGGCCTCAGCCCGGGAGAAGCCCCCAGCGACCACCCTCATGCTCCTACCTCTTTCCCCATCCCCCTGCCTCTCACCTGGCCAGCAGCAGGACACCCTCTAGGTGGGTGTGGGCTCCCACCAGCCTCCTCCAACCTCCAGCCTGCTCCATGCACGTGACCACCATGCGGCTGCCGTCCCCGGTGAGCAGGGCCTTCAAGGCCTCCACCGCACAACTGGAGGTGGGGGCAGCAGGAGTGAGGGCAGAGGGGACCCTGGTCCAGCCCTCACTTTCCCCAGTGTTCGCCCTCACCTGGCATGGTTGTGTGGTGGTCCACAGTGGGATGGGGCCCAAACCTTGTGGGTGTCTGGGGAGCATGGGCCCCGGGCCAGCTCATGCAACTGCGTGACCAGTGCCAGGAGGAGGTGCGAGTAGAAGCCCCGCGTGGCACCCACAGAGCCAGACACAGACAGCATCTCCCCAAGGGCATGAGTGGCCTGTGGAATAAGCAGCCAACTCAGGCTTGGCCACACAGGAGGCAGGAGGAGGGGACAAAGCCTCAGACATTTGAGGGGCATTAAAGATGCCTGTGACTCAAGTGACACCATACTGCCCAGGTCCCCCTGTGGCCTGCCTTCTCCCATCCCTCAAGGCAGGGGTTGGGGGTGGGTCCCCTGGCAGTGCCAGCTGGAGTCACCTACTGCCAGTGCCTGCTGCTTGGGTCCAGCTGCACCCTTTAACACCCACAGCAACTGCACCAGCACCTGCCCGTTCACACGCTGGTTCCTGCTCAGGCTGTGCCACAACTCGGCCGCCGCCCTGAGGGTAGGGGGTTTGTGAGACTGGGTTCCTGTTGGCATATCAGGATGGAGGTCAGGGTGGAGGTGGCCACTAAGACTCCAACAGGGGGGAGGGGCTGGTAAACCATCACCCTTCGCCCTCGTATGCATCCCCAGTCACAGAGAAACAAAGTAAGTGGCATCTGTGCAGACCACACAGAGCAGGGTTGGCGGGATCAGCTGTTCAGAACCCTGTCAGGCCAGTGACAGTGAAACAAACCTGGAACTATAAACAATCATGTAGCCCCAGCCGGGTGGTCAGTTGGTTAGAGCATCATCCTGAACACCAAAAAAGTTGTGGGTTTGATTCCCGGTCAAAGCACATACCTAGGCTGCAGGTTCTATCCCCGGTTGTGGCAATGTTTCTCTCACACTGATGTTAGTCTCTCTCCCTCCAACTCTTGATGTTAATCTCTTCGCCCTCTCTCTCTCCCTCTTTCTCAAATCAATAAACATATCCTCGGGTGAGGGTTAAAAAAAACCCACCCCAGCAACAATCATGTAGAAAATGTAACCAGATAACTTCTCCTGGAGTGGATTAAACTAAAGAGCCAGGGGCATGGGACACAGAAGCCACTAGCTCACTGACCCCACCTTGCAGCACACCTCCAGGCTGGGCTCCAGGGTCGGCCAGGAACCCAGTAGGTTCCTGAGGTAGGAGAGGGAGAGGAATAGAGGAGGGCAGGAGTGGGTGTGGGGAATTAGAAAGTTTTGCTGCTTCCACGACACACACCACTGGGGGCCAGATTCCACGGCCAAGCGGGAAGGGGGAAGGAAGCCGTGTGGGGACATAGGATGCGGCCCTGGCTGGGTGGGACAGGGTAGGTTACCAGTTCGGGGGCAGCGAGCAGGGCAGAAGTGCACACACCACGTCTCTCGAGTGCTCCAGAGCCAGTGAACTCAGCACCCGCAAGGCTGCCTGTCGGGGCCTCCCCTCAGCCAGGCGGGGCACCTGCGCCAGCAGCCCGAGCACCAGGGCATGCACCTGGCGTGGAGAGGCAAATGTCAGTGATCAGGCCTCCTTGACTCCCCAACATTATTCTGTATCCCCTCTAGTCCGTGCAGCCTGAAAGGGACATGTGTCAAGCTGCTCGCTCTAACCCCCCAACCTTGGAGGGGACTAGGCAGGAGTCTCTGGGGGTAGGAAGGGGGTGGGGGCTGACCTGGTCCTCCAGTCGCTGCCCCTGGGCTTCCAGGGCTGAGGACAGGGTGAGCACTGTCGCCTGTGTCCCTGAAAGGCCAGCCTCTTCCAGGCAGGCAGCTGTGTACAATGCCAGGTCAGAGAGGGCCCCTGCCTCCCAGGAACTCTGGGGGACCTAGGGAGGGGTGGGTGGCATGTATGAAGTCCCCTTGCCTCTCCTAGCTCTCCCCAGGTCCGCTCCCCCTCCCATAAGTCCTGTGTCCTTATTGTTACCCACACAGATCAGCTCCCATGCCTGCCCCTAGATTCCCCCCTTTTCAGTTTCCCTGTCCCTCAGCCTCCCTTCCCTCTCACTCACCTCGTGGGGTCCCTCAGGGGCTGACTTGTGCATATGGGGAGGGGAGCAAGGCTCCTGGGCAGCTGTAGGGATGGCTTCGGCTACACTTCTAGGCTCTGCCTCAGGTTCAAGCTCAGGTTCAGGCTGAGGGCCCCTGGAAGGGGGTCTTGTGGGCTGCCCCTGGTTGGCCCGGATCCCTTCAGCCAGAGCTGTCAGGGTTAGGGCCCCGACAGGGCCTCCCCGGGCCCTGCCCCACACACCCCTAGCCATGGCTGCCGTACACAGCCTTCAGCAGGGCCCAGCCAGCAGAACCTGCCAAGGGTCCTCCCAGGAAGTCATGCTGGGGCCTGACCTAGAAGCAGGCTCTGGGTAGGCAGGCGGGGCCAGGGACAGGTGTGGTGGTGTGTGAACGGTTGCTCTAGTATGTGGGGGGTTGGGGAGTCACACAAAGGTGTTCCCAGACATGGTGCCCTCTTGAGGCTTGTGAAGGACCCTCTGGGCTTCTGGTGGTGAGTGGCCAGCCTGAAGCCTGAGCCTCTGGGGTCTGGCTCCCCCCCAGGGCCCAGGGGGCGGGGCAAGATTCCCAGGCAGTCCATCTGCAAGTGGAGGGGAAGAAGGGCCCTTGACCCCGACCTCAAACCCTGCTAGGCAGGGGGACCCTGGCAGGTGCAGACAGCCCTAAGGAGGCCCCAGCAGGGAATAGGTCTGGGCCTAGCCCTGAGCTGAGTCATGTCCAGGCTGAGCCACTGCATTCCTACCCAGCTGGACATTCTGGGGATAGGGATGGCTGGGAGAGCTGTCACCACCACTGAGCTTGAGGCGGCCCTGGGGCAACGCAAAGGAGGCAAGAGGAGATGCACCTGCTGCTTCCTCAGCACTCTCAGCACTCTCGCGGTGGCCCACTGTCATTGGGGTGGGCCCTCAGCGTCCTGGACAGTTTGGCCTGACCAGGCCTCTGTCCCCAATCGCCATTGTTACCCTAAGCAAGTGACATAGCAGGCATTGCCCAGACTGACCCCAGGGAGCCAGAAAAGCTGGTTGGGCCAAATACCTGGGCAGGCGGAAGTATTCTGGGAAGCATCCCAGCCAGCCAGCATTCCCCACGCACCCACCTACCTGTGCCACCTCCTGCTGCCTAGACACGAGAGGACAGGGCCTTCACCCTCTGTGCCCCACAGAGCCTAGAACCTCCCTCCTGAGCAGTTCCTCTGGAGTCCAAGTTGCCAAAGCCAGTGGAGACCTGACAAGCCTGCCTGCATAGGCACGGCCAGCCCAGAGCCACTGGCCAGGTGCCCAGGGTGGAGCCACCACCTGGCCCCTCAACCTCTTCACAGGCTATAGTGCAGGCCCTTGACCTCCTCCTCTGCCTTCCCAGGCTACTAGGTCTCCAAGGCCCAGGCCTGGATGAACCTGTGACAGATACCAGCGTCTGCAGAGTCAATAGGTAGAACCCAGGGACACAGCGACCCCAAGCAGAGACAGGCAGGGCTGGCAGCAGCAGTGGTGTGGGAGCCCAGGCCATGCTTGGACACAGGGAAAACTGAGACTCTGCCTGGCACCTGATCCCCACCCCATGGCTCCTGCTCCCAAGAGCCTCTAGCAGGGTGAGGACTTCCTCAGTAACTCCAACTCCTGGGTGGGTACCAAAGCCCTCCCTTTCCCCGAAAACTGCCCTGGCCAGCCTCAGATCTGCCCCTGAGGCCCAGCTCTCAAACCACAGACACTCCGACCTTGGCCTAGCTCCTGGCCTCCGTACAGGGCTTCCCCACCCTGGCCGAGCCTGGGCCTTACTGGAGCAGGAACCCTCATCTGATTCCCAACTACACCCCACCTGGGAGGCCCTGGGAGTTGGTAAGTGGTAGGCTGGGAGAAGAACTGACACGTGACAAGTTGTGGGGGACAGTGAGTAATTCATGTTAACTTCTGGCAGCCCCACAATGGGGCTCTCACAGGGAAGCTCCAGCACTCAGTCTGTGCACGAGGGCCTGCAGCTTCTCAGACAGCGCCACCTGCAGAGAGGAAAGGAGTGGACGTGAGGTGGCTGTGGGTGCAGAGGGCAAACAGGTGAGCTGAAATGTGGGTCCTCCACCCACCTGGTACAGTGCAGGCTGTTCTAGCTCCCTATGTGCGGGGCTGAGACGGCTCAGGGACAGCTGGGCGAAGGCTCTAGATTCAGCCAGAGATGGGAGGGGCTCACATAGCTACAGGAAAGGAAGGGATTGGCTCAGGGTCAGGGGTCAGGGCTGGATTTGGGTTGCAGATGCAGACTAAGGAGGTAGGTGGAGTGGTCACCTGCCCTTGCTGGACCCAGAGTCGAAGAAGTGGCTCCACATGGGCCGGCTTCACGGTACAGGACTCCTGGGCCCCTCGAGGCCAGACCCTCAGCTCCTGGCCAGCCTGGGGTGGTGGCTCCTCTGCCAGCTGCAGCACGTCCAACAGCAGAGACCCTGTGTGTGTATGGGGGGTGCGGGGGGGAGGCACCAAGAATGACGTGGGGCCTGGGGCCTTGAAGGGGGCCGCAGAAAGGTTGAGGGGACCTCACCATCAGAGCCCAGGAGCCGGAAGGCAGCCTTGCTCCCAGGCAGTGTCTGCTTCTTGGGGTCCTCAGTCAGCTTCATTCGTGGTTGGCCTCCCACAGACACCAGCTGCAAGGACAGGGTATTGAGAGAGCTGGACCCTTCTCCCCCAACCCATGATCCCCATGGCCCACCCCCACTGGGCCCAGTCTCTGTCTCTACCTTGTAGACGCAGCCCAGGGAAGGCTGGCGGGGGCAGGTGACCACACTGGTACCAATGCCAATGACATTCACCTCACTGCCCTGGAGGATGGGAGCAGAGGTGCACTGAGCTCAGCTAGCATTTTCAGGCCTAGGGCCCTCCTAACCACCCTCCGCCTGCCCTGCCCTGCCCCATCCCACCTCCTGGGCCAGCCGGGCCAGCTCCTCCTCATCAATGTTGTTGCTGACAGCGATAGAGACTGACTCCAGCCAGGGCACCTGGAACCTGTGATGAGGACAGGCCCTCAGAAGTTCCTGATTCATCAGGGCTCCCTCCCTCCCCAGTTATGCCCCCCTCCCATGGGAGAATCTGCCCTCAGCCACATGGGCACTGGCCTCCCCAGAGGGCCACAATGTCACCACTGAGGTAGGCCCAGACCAGATCTCCTCAATGTGGGAAGGGCAAGGTATCTCCCCCCCTTTGCCCCATCCCAATATTCATGCCCCAGAGGGGGTCTATCAGCAGACACAGCCCCTCCTGGACTCACTGGGCCGCAGTGGTCCGGAAGAGCTCTCGGATCTCCTGGGCTTGCTGCAGCAGGTCGCCGCTGTCCAGCCGCACTCCCACAGCCTGATAGCCCAGCTCCCCCAAGGCCAGGGCTACCGCCAGGAAGTTGGGAAGACCGCTTCTGCAGGCAGGGACAAGGAGGTCAGGATGATGCAGCTTTTCTGCCGAGCCCCCCGGGGGATTCCTGGGCCTCACCTCCTCACACTGTAGGTGTCCAGCAGGCCCTGGAAGGCCCGGGGAAAGGCCAGGGCATAGGCCACAAAGGCCGCCCGCTCCCCCGGGTGTGCATCCTGCACCCCCAGCCCCAGGTGGGCACACACACGTTCCAGCCACGCCTCCACACAGGTAACCAGGTCCACCCTGGGACCCTGACCTGCAGCTGGAGCCAACATCTAGGAAGAGGGATCAGTGAAGAGTGGGGGACCCCAGAGTGCAGGGTAGGGCCTGGTTTGCCTCTGGCTGAGTGTCTGAACAGGGGTAATGCCGCCTGCCTGCCACCTTCCCAGTGCAGCACTGTGGCTCCCTGCCCAGGGTGACTTTGATGGGCCTGACATGGCTTCTGCCTTTGTGCAGAGCAGGGACTTGACTACTCCTCCTCCAGGCAAGGACAGGCCTTGGGGTCTGCCCTCTGGAGTTCAGTCTGGAAGAGAAGGGTACTGACCGGGTCAGGGGGCACTTCGGTGCCTGAAAAGGAGGTGACAAAAGAATGCGCGAGGGTTCCCACCACTGGAACGCCCCTCAGCTGTCCTGCGAGCATGTTGCTGCTGCCATCGAAGCCTAGACCAGGGCATTGGGCAGGGTTGGGGGATTTCAGGCTGTGTGGAGGGGGGTTCTCAGGCTGGGCCTCCTCCTTTGCCTACCTTTCCCTCCCTTCCCTGGCCCTTACCCCCCAGGTAGCTGTAGGTGGAGGCCGTGAGACCGCCGTCGGGTCCCTGAGCGCGCCGCAACCCCATCTCCAGCAGCCGCTTCTCTGGTCCCGCGATCAGACGAAGCCGCGCCGCGTTGGTAGCGATGAGGCTGTGAGGAGCAAACGGGCAGGGGCTCGGGGTGAGGGTCACGCAGCCACCACAGCCCACCCCCCGAGGCCCCGCTCTTCATCCACGGGCTCGCGCAGTCACGCCCACACCCAAAAGGCGCCTCCGGAAAGTCCAAGGTCCTGCTCGGGCGCGCCGAGCCGGGCCCACCTGGCGTAGCTGACCAGGCAGAGGAGCGGCGTCTCCAGCAGCTGCACCACCAGGAGAGGCCCAGACACCTGCAGCAGCGGCACCTGCGGGGAGGGTGTCGGTGGGCAGCCGCAAAACCTCCCTCAGGCCCGCCCCTCCGGCCCGCCCCGCCTGCACTCACGCCGGGGAAGACGAGGGAACCCTCCGGCAGGGCCCGCACCGTCACCCCGGAGCAGTCAAGGGCCCGGAGGTGCTCGAAGAACGCGGGGTCGGTGTCCTGGGGCAACACCGAGGCCAGGAACTGCACGTCTGGGGGCGACAAAGGATCGCAAGGGCTGGGGCAAGAGCACAGCAGAAGGGGGCTCGCCGGGGCTGAGACAGCTCCTTGGCCGAGGGGGGCTCGCGGGAGCGCGGAAGGCGGGCTCGAGGGGCGTCTAATGCGGGCTCGAGGGGGCGCTGCTCCGTGAGAGTCCCGCCGCGGGCCGCGGTACCTGCGTCACGCAGGCGGAAGGCACGTAGGAAGCGCACGCAGTCGCGCAGCCCCGCAGCCAGCGCGAAGGAGCCGCCGAACGGGCACCGGCGGAAGAAGAGCTCAAACTCGGCGGGCTCGCGCGTCCGGCCCGCACGCCAGTAGCCCAGCGCCATGGTGGCCTGGTAGAGGTCTGTGAGCAGCGGTCGCGCCGCCGCGCGTCCCTCGGGGTCCTGCTCCGCCATCTCTCCAGGCTCCCGGACTCGGCTCCCCACCCGGCCAGCCGGCCCACGTGGCACCGCACTCCCCAATAGCTGGTGCCCCAGACCTGCTTATCATGACGCCCAGCGAACCCGGAGCCCGGAAGGTGGGGACAACCGGGAAGCAACCGCCTTTCCCGGCAACAGGAATGGGCGAGGCTACCAGCCTCTGGACAGAGGGGTCCGGGAGGCCGACGGGGCCAGTGGGGAATGTGTCTGCTGTCCCGGCTCATCCCAGCTCCTCGAAGCATGGCCCCCTCCCGCCTGTCCCCAACTCTGCTTTTAGTGCAGAGGATAGAAGAGGGCAGTGGTGACTCCACCTCCAACTAGACTCTCTCCACCCCACCTGGAAGCCAACTCAGGTCTGGGGAGGGTCAAAAGCGATTCTAAAGTCTGCTCTGGCACTTAGGTGTGGCCCAGTGTTCAGGAACCAGCCAGCCTGGTGCCCACGCCCAGCTGGTACCAAGGCTTTCAGGTTCTGCACCCTAAGCCCCACAGGAGTCCTGTAAAACTAAGGGTAACCTCAGGTTCCCCACCACCAAGGGGGGCAGTCCATCTGTGTGGCTCAGGGTCGTGGAGGACACCAGCTCTGACCAGAAGTAACTGCAGCCCACACCTTTCTCCCAAATACCAAGAATAGCTGTCTCACCAGCTATGCTGGCCAGTCCAGGAGGAACCCTTCGAGGCACAAGTACTGATAGATGGGGTTTGGGGGAGGGGGCAGGTATGGCTCCCCCATGGAATCTGTCATGGAATCTGTCCAGGGACCAGGTCTTCAGCAGGTGGAGCAGCCAGTGCACTGGGGAGGGGGAGTGCCCTCTGAAGACTGAATGAGAGGGCCAGGGCTGAGAGGCAGGGGTGCTGGAGCCAAGACCACAGGACACTGGCAGGGTCAGACCTGGTGGGGCAGGTGACTGGTCACAGCAGTAGGGCCACGTTGGCCTCTAGGACCTCTCTTTACTGGACAGCTGCAGGCTGGCACTTTTGCTCCCAGAGTCAGCCAGCCAGGAAAAGAGCGTGAGGAGGCAGAGTGGGGAGAGTGGATGCCTCCTGGGCCCCAGTGAGAAGCTAAGAGCATGCTTTCTTCCTGGCTTCAATAGTTTGGAGTGGACATGGCACCTGATGGATGAGTGAAGACAGGAGGATGGCCAAGAGATGGAACAGAAGGGGCAGGCAGGAGATTGAGGTAACACAAGCCACAAGAAGGCTGTGCAGAGGCCAAGAAAGGGGAGGAGATGATGGCTTCTGGGACCACTGATGTAGGACAGGTGGGGGCCCAAGTGGGACACCACTGAGGCCTGGGGCCTGGCAGAGTGCTGCTCACTGAATGCTGCCCGCCCACAGGGCCCAGACCAGGACAGGAGGCAGACATAAGGAATCTCAGTCTTTAATGGTGGCAGGGTCTCATGCTCAGGCCCAGTGCTAGGGCTTAGATCTTGTTGAAAGCAGCAATGTCAACGCTCTGCACCTGGAGAGAGGAGGGGGGCAGTGGTCACGTGGGGCCCAGTTTCCCAAAGGCCCACCATGGCTGTGCCCTGGGCCTGTCCACTCACATGCTCCTGGAACTTGGTGACCTCCTCCTCCAGCAGGTCAGTCCCCACTTTGTCGTCCTCCACCACACACTGGATCTGCAGCTTGTGGATGCCATAGCCCACGGGCACCAGCTTGGAGCCCCCCCAGGTCAGCCCATCCAGCTGGACAGAGCGCACACAAGCCTCCAGCTGGGCCATGTCTGTCTCATCATCCCACTGAGGGATCAAGGGGAGAAGAGGCTTGTTCAGGAGCCTGCAGACTCCAGGAGAGAGTCGCTAACCGGCTGCCTTCTGCACGCCCCCGACTGGGGACCGAGCCCGCAAGCCCAGCATGTGCCCTGACCAGCAACCAAACCCAGATCTCCTGGTTCCTGGGTCGATGCTCAACCTCTGAGCCATGCTGGCTGGGCAGAGCCCACTTCTTATAAGGCCCTACAAACAGTCCCAGCTTACTCCTGCCCCACATTTCTCTTTTTAACACAAGATTTCTGAACCCAGGGCAGGGGGAGGTCAGAGGTGGGCCACTCACAGGCTTGACATCCAGGAGGATGGAGGACTTGGCCACCAGCACTGGCTTCTTCGCCTTCTTCTCTGCATACTGCCGCAGCCGCTCCTCCCGCAGTCGGGCAGCCTCCTTGTCATCCTCCTCGTCACTGCCAAACAGGTCGATATCTTCATCCTCGTCATCCTCGGCAGCGGCAGCTGCCTTTTGGGGGGGGGGCTCCACTTGGCGCATGGGAGACACGTGCTGCCAAAGGGGAGGGGAGGCTGAGACTGAAGTACCCTGCCTGGCAGGCCTGGAGGACACTGGGACCCAGGTCTCTTGCCCTCACTGCGACCTGGGCCAGCCTCCTGCTCCTCTGCAGTACCAGGTATGGGGACTCTGGTCAGTGCTGGGGGGTTTGTGGGGTAGGGACGGGTGCTCACCTGGGTCTGCGGGGCTGTGGCCCGGTGGGTGGGTGAGCTCTTCTCCAGCACACTCAGTCGGGCCTCCAGCTTAGAGATGGCCTGCTGCAGGTCCTGCACCACTGCAGGAGTGAAGGAGATGCTGGTCAGACAGCAGGGGTTGGGCTGGGACCCTCACCCATCAGGCCCAGGGCCTCACCTCCTCGCAGACTCTGGTTCTCCACTTCCAGGCTGGCGATCCGGACAACGAGCTCACTCTGGTCTCCACTGGGCCCGCTGGAGGCCCCCGGGCCTGAACTCTGCAAAGCAGAGGGAGGGTGAAGGTTTGGCACCCCAACCTGCTCCTAGAATCCCCCAATCACAGCCACTGAGAAGCAGAGCCCTGAGCTGGATGAGAGGCCTGAGAGACACCAGACAGCAGGTCCTTTCAGCCTAGCTCCTCCACCCAGAAGAGAAAGAGGCAGCCCTGTGAGCATGAAACCACGGTGACATTCTCAGCCAAGCAGAAAGCACAAAAAAGAAAGCAGAGGGCCCAGGGCAGAAAGCTCAGAGTTATGGCTACCACTGCCTGATGGGGTGGGAAAGAGCAGGACTTATGGTCCCAGGGGCAGCCTGGCCTTAAGCTGGAAACAGGAGGGGAGAGTAGTTGAGGGGCCAGTAGGGCAGGAAGGAGCATGCATGCCCATGCAAAGGACAGCCACCTGCAGCAGCCAGCACAGTGCCTTGCCACGTACCCACCATCTGGCTAAGTCTGCCCTTGAGGGCTCTGAGTAACTTGAGAATTGAAGCCTGGTCCCCATCTTCTGACCCTTGCAATGCAGCCCAAGGAGCCCACCCACAGGGCGTATAACAAGCCTGAGTTATACACCAGTGGAATGGCTCTGGGAACACAGTGCACCTGGCTCTTTCCTCAGGGCCACTATTCCCCTTCAGAGTCCAATCATGATAAAAGACCTTGGCCTGAGACTCACCCAAGCAGCCATAGGACAAAAGCCACTGTTCTGCATACCCCCAGGCCATGGACAGGCTAAAGGTCTCCAGAGAGGACAGGTTACCAGGTGCCTGGCTCTCTGCCACTGACCTCTGTGCTATGATGCACCAACTAGCATGCTCCTAGCAGAGCCAGCCCATGCCACTCCCCTCCTCAGCTCAACTCAGTGCCCTAGTCAGTAAACAGTACACCGTCCACCCTGCACCTCATGCTGACAGCTGTGCTGAACCCACCCACCACCAGCACACAGCCCCCATGCCATTCCCACTAAGACCTCTGATGGCCTCAATCACACAGGGATGAAAGCCAGAACCTCCCACTCCTGCCCATTTGGTTGGGCACCAGCTGCGTAGGCTTCTCTCCCAGGGGCTTAGTGCCCGAAAACAAGTGAACTAGGTCCTGGCAGCAGGCTGGTGCCTCGAGCCCTGCTGAGGCTCTGCTGTGCCTGCTGCCCGGCATGCATAAGTGGTGGGGAGACCAGGGTGCTGGGGGCCAGCGGGTCCCTGGTGCCTGGCCCTGCATGCCACTAGGCCTCTTCTTGAAGTCTATGCCATGGCCCCACCCACTCCACCCTACCCCAACAGGAACTCATGTCCAGGCAGGGACAAAGAAGCCAGGGGGCCCGGGGCCCTTACCTCAGCCTCAAGGAGATGGGAACAGGCCACCTGGTCACTGCCCAGCAAGCTGCAGGCAGCCACCTCATAGCCTCAGGGAAGGGCCACACACTAAAGTTTTTACTCTAGAACCCTCCATCTCCACCTGACCCTGTGCCTGGTACCAGGCAGTTCCCAGGAACCTCTGGGTGCTGTAGTCCCAGTGTCTGCTGACAGCGGGGCTGGGCCAGCACCATTCTTCCTGGGTCCCTGCTGTTGGTTGACTGACGTTCCTGAATAAGGCTCATGGAAGCCTCAGCACCAGCACCTCAGGTGGGGGCTCAGCTGGAGCAGGGTCTTCACAGGGTGACCGTTACGCTGAGGTCATTAGGGTGGCTCTGACCCAGTGGCTGGTGTCCTCGAGACAGGCAAGGGGATGCGAAGAGGGAAATGGCCATGTGCACGCCAGGGAGAGGCCTCAGAAGGAACCAACCCTGTTCACACTTCAACCTTGGACTCCAGCCTTCAAGCTGTGAGAAAGTGACTGTTGTTTAAACTGTGTGGCCTGTGGTGCTTTGTTACCCAAGCCCTAGCAGCATGCCACAGCTTTCCCCAAAGTCCAGGACCCAGCATCTGACTAACACAACCAGGCCCAATGGTGGGAGGAAGAAGAGTCTCCTGGATGCAAAGACCTCCTGCCACCCAGGTCGTGTCTGCCCAGGCCAAACCTGGTCGGGGAGAAGGCAAAGCAGGAAGGAGCAAGTAGGGGCCAAGCACAAAGCAGGGCCTGCTGCGAAGATGGTGGTAGCACCACTTCCCAGGGGACACCTGCCCAGGGCTGCCCAGTCTATGGCCAGGAGCCAGTACACCCGAACCAGCTGTGCAGGCAGGTGACCTCACATGACAAAAGGGACTTTGCAAATGTGATGAGGGTGAGATGGGAGGCGATCCTGGATTATCCAGGTGGGCTCAGTGTCATCACAAGGGTCCATAGAAGAGAAAGGCAGGGAGAGAGAAGGAAATGTGACAGGAGCAGAGGTCAGAGTCACTATACTGCTGGCTAGAAGCCACAGGCAAAGGAATGTGGGTAGCTTCTAGAAGCTAGAAAAGGCAAGGAAATGGATTCTCTCCCAGACTCTCCAGAAGCAGCACTGCTATGCTGACACTTGGCCTTCAGAGCCAGGACACCCCCATGTCCCAGAGGGAGAAAGAGGTCCCAGGTCCTGTGGCGAGGAAGGTAGAGTACTAGGTCTGTCACCTCCTAGGGACACACCAGGCAGGGACAGAGGTGGACATGGTACTGTCCTCTCCTGATCTCATCTGGGACTAGGGAGCCAAGCTGGGCTGTAGGGCCCCTGCCTGGGCTTCAAATTCAAAATGGTGTCCATTCTGTGGTTGGAACTCCACACCCTATGAACCTATCTCTTTGGGGAGGTCAAGGCCTAGGAGGGAAAGGAGGCTTCCCTTAGCATGGAGCAGGCAGGTGAGAGGTGCAGCAAGGATGCAGAGTAAGAAGTCCCCTGTGGTCTGGGCCCAGGTCCATGTCCAGGCAGGAACAGCCTCACCCTGACTTTGCTCCAAGGGCAAAACAATCAGCAGTACTGAGGCAAAGTCAGATGTGCTGTTGGGTGTGAGGGCAGCGGCAGCAGCGCCAGCCTGTGGGTGCTTGGGCCGCAGTACTCACTCCGGCCAGGGACTTCTGGATGTTCTCTCTGGCTCTCGCAATGTCCCGGAGGATCACGCTTGCGCCATTCTCCTGCAGACAGTGCAGAAAGAACCAGTCTTTTTTTTCCATTAAAAATTTTTTTTTTAAAAAAAGGATCCCTATGTCCCTTATATGGAAAATAAGGAAGTGATGCGCAGAATGAAAGCTCAGTGAGCAAGAGGCAAGAAGTGTAAGGTGCCTGAGTCTTGCAGCAGTGACAGCAGGCCCAGCCCAGATCCACATTTGTGTGCTATGCTGCCCAGTAGCCTGGGAGACAGTGGGGGCATGCTGTCAAGCGCTGAGACAGGAGCGGATCCAGCACCCCAGGAGTCAGCCAGGGCCAACCCTCCAAAGACCCACCACCAGCACCTGGAGCAGAGCTACTTGGGAAGAACATGCCTCTGCCCTCTGGGCACTGGTACAGCCACCTAGAGGCCCCAAGTGCAGCCTTTACCTGGCATGAGGAGCCAGTCACAGGCCCATTCATCTGCTCGTAGAATTTCCTTTCTGCATCATCATATCTGAACTTGTCAAACCAGATCTTCTCGTGCATTAGGAAGTTTGTGGCCATTTTCCTGCTGGGAGAAAAAGTTGAGGCTAAGACAGCCTGGAGTGCATAAGTGCCCCTTCTAACAGCCCGGATACCAAAGGTGCAGGGTAGCCATCCCAGTCCTTAGGAGACAAGGCCTCCAGGCTCCACGCAGAACACATAAGCTCCTCACCCACACCACCCCTGCTCCCACTGTAGGCTCCATTCAGTGCTCCGGCCATAGTCCCAGGCCTGTCCCCAAGACCAGTGGCTCTCAAAGCGTGGCCAGGAACTTCTGGGGCACCCGAGGTCCCCCCCTTTTCCAAGCACGCATCTATGCAAGGCTGGATTTGTGTCAGACAACACACACCCACATCTGAACACAGAAGCAAGTGGGACTCCACCGCTTCCTATTAAGCTAGATACTAAACATTTCAAAATGTAAAACACGGCCACTTGCTCACTGAATTTTCTTACAGGAAAATTGTTTCTCATGTTTTTCAATAAACACTTGTAGTACTTCTGCTAATGTGGTGCAAATCCACAGATAAAACAAGAGCTCTCTGGCGTCCCCAGACCAGTAAGTTTGAGAACTGTTGCTCTAGCCCTAGGCAAGCAAACTACAGCCGGAGAACCACATCTGGCCCATTGTCTGTCCATGCACATTGCTGCCCTGACACTGACGCCAATCTGCTGCTTTCCCTCAGCTTGACAAGGTGGGGCAGCTATTGCAGACCTGGGCCCACAGAGCCCCTCCTACTTCTCACTGAATATGACAAAAATGGACCCTGTCCCGCCAATTCTTGGGCGAGGAACCCAGGCTATCACTGCACTTCACCAAGTGTCTTCTTGGTGACAAGAGGAAATGGGTCTCACCCCTGTGAAAAGCCAGCTCCATGAAGATGGTATAAGCTCCATGGCCCCTACCCCCACCACACAGGGACACCCCATCCCCATGATGGGGCCCGTACCCTGTCCCTCACAAGGCCAGATCCAGTCAACTCATCAGATCAACCCCACAGAAGGGCAGAGTGAGAGGGCTCCTGCTGGAAGTCTGGGGACCAGGCTGGTGCCACTTTCCTGTAGATCCAGGGAGCCTCTCCAAGTCCTACTGGCCCAGCCTGGGGCACAGCCACATGCACCCCAGGGTCCCCAGCTCCCCGCTGTTTCATCTTCCCTACAGCCCAAAAGTCTTTGCCCACCTGCCTGGGAACCCCTTTTGTGGCCAGGAACTGGATGCCCCCACCCCTGGCCGCCTCCAGGCCCCTGGCCTCCAGAGACCACTACTGGTACTGCATCAAACTGTCCTAGAGCAAGGCCCCTGGTCCCCAGGATGAAAGCAAGTCTGCCTCACCAAGTGGGTGTCCTTCAAACTAAGGCCGATAGATGGCCATGAGCTGGTGTAACTGACACCCACCTTACCTCATAGGGAGACGGGTGGAACAGACAGGAGGGACAGGCGGGCATGCTAGCTCCCAATGGGGCCCAGGAGTCTTCAATGTTCCCCAAGGAGCTGCCTCGGCAAGAATTACCCTGTATGGGGCAGATTCAGCACGATGCTGACCCTCTTCCTCCCCCAACAGCTCAGAACTTTGTGACCCGAGAGGTGACCCTGGAGGCTACATTGCACAACCCACTCCTACATTCAACTTAGCCGGGTCCAGGTGTCTCAGGGAGAGCCCCTCAGGTGCAGGGGGGCAGGGGGGAGCACACAAGGCCCCAGCCCGGGAAAGCCCAGGCCAGGCATCTGTCCTGCATGTTTCTCCTACTTGGGTCTCAGGCTGGACATGGATGGGCCAGACCGGGCACTGGGTCGGTGAACCAGAGATGTAGATTCGAGGTGCCAGGCCACGCGCAGGGCCTCAGCAGCATGGTGGCGGCACTCCGCACTGTCGTAGGTGGGCTTGGTGAGCCAGGGGGCCTCGGCATCTTTGTGCAGGAAGTACCAGTAGGGAAGGGCAGACGTTGGGACCCCCCCATCAGCACGCCTCAGCTCAGCCCGCTTGTTTCCCAGAGTGTTGCGGCCCCGCCGATCTCTACGGGCCCGCTTGACATTCTCAGCCTGGCTGGCTCGCTCCTGCAGGCGCACCTTCCCAGGGGGGTGACCATCAAACAGGGCCTCATAATAGCCCCTCTCGGCTGCGTCGTACCGGGGCTTCTCCAGCCACACCTCCCGCACCAGTGCCTGCAGGCTGCCAAGAGGGGGCTGGCCATTGGCTGGTGAACTAGGCTGGTGGGTGAGGGCCAGGTCAAGGGCAGGTGCCCGCTGGCCTGTGTCAGGAGCCCCCTGCCTGCTGCTCCCCTCTGTGGCCAACCGCAGAGCCTGAGACCACTCCACAAATGCCCGCTCAGCCTGGTCGAAGGCAGACTTGTTGACCCAGATGCCCCACGTCACATGGTGGCAGGCCATCTGGCTTCCGTGGGTGCAAGGACCCCTAGGGGCCAAAACCAGTGGCTGGGCTGCCTGGGCAGCCAAGTCTGCCAGCCTCTGGCGGTAGGAGCTCTCTGCCTGGTCGAAAAGCAGCTTGTCTAGCCAGACATGGTCAGCTGAGAGGCCCACAAGGGCCAGGTCTGCCCCACCGAGCCAGCTCTTCGGGGAGCGCTTCCTCTTCTTCTGCAGGGGCTGCCTCCCTTTATGGCTCTTCCCAGGAATGCCCCTGCAGCTGTATGGGGCCTCGACCTCCTCTGCCTCCTTGGTGTCCTCCTGACCTGGCCCGTTCACGGCTGGCACCTGGCCCAGAAGCTGCTGGGCAGCGGCGGCGGCTCGCGTGGCCTCGTGCTCGTGGAAGCGCTGCTCAGCTTCCCCATACTTCTGCTTGTCTTCCCAGACGGTCTCCAGGGCACAGGAGGCCTTCCCGCTCCTCATCTTCCGCACAGCATTAAAAGCAAGCACAAGAAGGCAGTTGAGCACAGCGAGCCCTGGCTGCCAGCGTCCTGCCCCTCCCTTGGCAGCCTGGCTGCAGGTCAGAGGAGCCTGGGGACGCTTCCCAAGGGGGGGGGGG